TTTATATTTTTAATATAAAATTCAGGTTTGGCATATGACATAGTCTTCTACACCATACATGTATATGTTTCGCATTTTAGATGCGGATTTTTCTATTTCATAAATTGAATAAATTATTTCTTTCTCACGTGAACATTAATCAGAATGAAATGCCTCCCAACTGTGGCAAATTTGAAATAGGCGGCACAGCTCTAAATTTTATTTCCTTTCCTAAAAGTCTTCAATCTTTTTGAAAGTGAGAGCCCCGGAACCTCTCAATCCATTTTCTTTTAAAAGAACCAAATCTTTCATTTTATAGCTGAGTATAATTTATTTTTAAAACAAAATACTTTTCTCTTTGATTGATCTTTTGAAAAAATACTATATATTTACATGATCATTTGTTGGAATTGTACATGTTAATTGCTTGAAATTTAAAATACAAGTACTTAGTCTAGTATATGATTGTAGGAGTGTGAACGTCAAATGTCATGCTCACAATGTATAGGGGAATTGATCATAATTGAATGTTTATATTTTTTCACACTCATTCAATTAACGGGTTATTTTATTTTTGTTTTTACTTAATTGTATTAGAAATATTTTTAATTGTATTGTTTGCTTCGTTCATCCTCCACTAAGTTAAACATAAACTATACTGAAAGGAAAAAGAAACGCAGGGTATCATAATATTCGAAAACCTTTTGACCGCATGACCGAAAATTACGAAAATTGGTCAGATGAGAAATTAAGTTACCTTGCATCTAAATCAGTGTTCAGAATTATTCAACCATGAAATGTATGACGTCATGCAGGGGAAACGCTAAAAAGCCCAAAACACGTGAAATTTGATGACGACGAGTTTGTCAACAAATCTTGTTGCACCATTTGATGCACCTGAGGTATACACATTGTTTTTCAATATTTAGAGACGATGTGAATTTCTTGCAATCTTTGTACAGTTTATGGAAGTTCAATGGGGTCTGATTTTCGATTTGCCTAAGTAATGAACGAGGCAACAACGGTTATCCAAGCAGTTTCTTGTAAATTTTCCCCCATAAAATTTATTACCCGTTGTCAGAGAGGGCCTAGAATGGTTTTCAATCAACCGTGACGATGACGTTAACGCGAAACGGAGTCATGTTCCGAGCGGGTTATTCGTCCTGCCACCTCTTAAATCGCAGTCCTAATACCACAAAACCCGCCTTGTATACAGTAGACTATTATAATCATTACATTCACACAAATATATGAAAGAAAACAATTCTGCAATTTGATTGTTTAAACATGTCGATTTACAGTTGTGTTCCTCTCACTCGCGCATGCGCGCGTCGCATGACTAATTTTTTGGCGTGGTTACCCATGTCAAATGTATCCAGGGTTTGAAAGATACTCACTTTGATGAATTCCATGCAAAGGAGAAATAACGCTCATGATAGATGTACAGGAGAGACATTGAAGATAATGAGAGATTTCGATTTTCACTTTTGGTGGGTACCGGCATATGAGCTTCAATAACTTAAGAATTATTAAACAAAATCAAATGAGATTTTGGTTATATCTTTTTGAAAGATGATTGTAATAGTTTGATAGGAATACTTAAAAAAATTGAAAGAAAAATAATTTTAATTTACCTCAAAAGTTTACCCTGCGTTTCTTTTTCCTTTCAGTATATATGTACAAATTTCCAACTTTTCATTATGCAACTTTGGTGTAGAATCTAAGACTAGGAAATCTAGAAATCTATTAGGATTCTGTTAAAATATGCTTTAAGAATCCATTACCAAAACCATGTTATCTATATCTTTGTTCTCCGTCAAAGAAATATTAAAACCTAAACTGTTTGAATCAAAACGGCTATTTCTAAGTTATTTGACAGAGCCACTGTACCAAAACTTTGGTCAATCTGAGCTATGTCTGCTCGACAAAGGACGCTTACTACTTTGTGGCACCCCATCCAACTTCTGAAATATCTCTGATGTTTTTAGAAGTCCGTGTTTTCCAATTTGTATTTTTTAGTGGATTATTGTAATTTTGTGAAGTGCCTATTTGCAGTTTTGTAAAAATGACCTTGGGCATGTTGAAATCACCCATTACATGTAACAAATGTCACTTTCTCTGCTCAGATGTAAACTTGTGGAAATTAAATGTTTCTCAATTAGAAATTAGAGACCTTTCTCATATTTTTTTCTCTATATGTTTTAAGAGAGGATGGACTATTTGACAAAGAAATGGAAGATGTGGTACAAGTCCCTGGACGTCGATCATGACGGTAAGATCTCACTACAAGATGTCGAGGAGTCCCGAAATAAGTTTACAGATCTACATCATCTTCTAGGCGACAAGGCAGAGACAGTCCGAACGAACGTGGAAAGCTGGTGGACAACGTACATTCTCAAAGGCGAACACCAGTTAACTGAAGAGCAGTTCCTTTCTAATTTAACGACCATCTATAAACAGGACAAGGCAGACTTCAAGGCGCACATACAGAGATGTTTCGAAATGATTTTTGACGTCATTGATACAAACAAAGACCGCTCCATCGAACTCAAGGAATTCATTTTTGCTTTTAAAGCTTTTGGCCACGAGAACGAAGACCTTGTAACAAAGACCTTCAAACGTTTTGATAAGGAATTGGTGCCTCTTTGCGTGAAATGGTAGCAGCCTGGGTCCAGTTTGTTACTGATGACGACAGCTCAAAACGAGACATCATCTACGAAGTCTTCCAAGCCGGAGTTTAAACCATAGATATGACGTATAGCATGACGTCATATCCACTTTGCATATAGAGACAAAAGAAATCAAAAGAAAAAGTAGCTTTGATGTCCATCCGGATTTATTTTACTGATTTAACTAGCTCGAAGGCTCCCCTATGTTATCGGATAATAAGATTATGAACATACGATAAGCTAATGCTTGTTTATTTCATTATTTACATTAATATGTGCTTAACTGATCAATGTGTGTTTCTTCATTTACAATATATGTGATCGTCTGTAGATAAAGATGTTCATTGTTTTTATTATCCGTAGACATCTATTGTGTGTATTTTAAGTACACATTGCTTAAACAGCAAAGGTCGGGATTTAATCAAATGAAATTTGTAAACTTTAAAATATACGAATTTTTTCTCTCGATTTTCAAAAGTCTATGGTCGTCCGCGTGGCCCAGTTGTTAAAGCATCTGCTCTAGAGTCGCGAAGTAAGGGTAGATCCTTATGTCGCGGCTCGAATTCCACTGTGGGACCTAGAGACCGGTCCTTCGGATGAGACCGTATTAACCGAGGTCCCGTGTCGCAGAAGGTGCTGGCACGAAAAAGATCCCTCTCTGCTTAATGGCCCTAAGTGCAGAGTATAGGACAAAAATTTGCAATTCTCCACCGGCAAGTGGTGGCGTCTCCACATGAGTCGACAATTCTCGAGATGGACGTTAAACAATATACAATCAATCAATCAATCAAAAGTCTATGCCATCAATAAACGAATATACTGATAAGGTTATTTGTGCTTGAATGCATTGTAAAATTCTTTGAATAATATGGTAAAAACTTTGAAATACATACAAAACTGGCCGCCTATAATGTCTTTTTCAAATGAAGTAGATTTTTTATTCTGATGTAACTACTGAATCTGACATGTATACGTGCATTGTTAGCCTTTGATTCAATAAATGGCAAATTTGAATCCCAATAACAATGATAGGAACTACCAAAGGATAATTATAGAGCCGGTCATAATAGATCTGGTCATCATTAATCTTATGGAAATGCTACTCAAAAGACAATGGTGATAGAATGGAGACAGATGTAGAAAACTCCCTTGATGCCTCCTATAGCATTGTAAATACAACGACGAATTAACATTGGTTAAACATAAAAGTAGATAAAAGTTGAAATCCTCAATGAATAATCGAGCATGAACGATAAAAAAACGAGGTTAATACTTAAATATTTTTTTTTCAAAAAAAGGAAGAGAAACAAAGTTTTCTTCCACCCCTCTCCCCTCAATAAAACATCACCATCGACAGCAACAACAACAAGTACAACGCTCGTATAATGTAAACTTTTGATTAAATGTTGTCCAGGACTTAAAATACATTACAAAATATATCCTTATAACCAACGCATTTTCATTCTGAGAACACCAAGGAATATAAAAACAACATAAAAATCAATACATTTTCATACGTAGAAACATTTATTTTGTCGATGTTTGAAGTTTCATTCCATTGATAAGATGGAACTCATGGTACCTAATGTCAAAAGCAAAATGTTTACGCAGCATAGTTAAGGCTTGAAAAAAGGAACGGGGCAGAACTCATACGGGAAAAGTTTACTGTGACGTCACACAAAAATCTGACTTTTATGTATTTCTCTTAATATCTAAAAGTGAAATAATTTGCAAATTTTAACTGTTTAAGCATAATTAACAACAAAAAAACTTATCAATGCATTAAAAAAAGTTGCTAGTTAAATCCCATGTAGCTGATTTAAATAAAGCACTGATTGCGATGAACTTGTATAGATGACGTCATTTTGGTAAAAATGACGTATTTCATATACTGTGAGAGGCAGATTGAGGAATTTTTTAACAATGAGAAATGCGTTTTATTATTAAATGGAATATTATTTAAAAGGTTTTAGATAGTCGATAAATACCGATATGTATCCTTTGTTTAGTGCAAATATTCATTAACTATCAAGAGAATATTTTATTAGTTATGTCGTGTTTTTTTGTACAGGTTACGTACATTTTACATCGACATGCCGCCTAAGATCGTACTTTCGCAAGGGCATACACTGCATAGATCTTAACCATTTTTGTAATATGGATAAAGAATATTTTCTTTAACTTGAAAAGTGTTGCTGCTTTCTTTAAATCGAAGGCGTGATTTTCTAAGTACAAAAAATATTTGATAAAACTCAAACATATTTGGACATTGGCCTATAGTCCTATTGCACGTTCGGGTTCGCCATTTTGATTTTGCTAATTATATATGCATGTCAAAGGTCAATCGGGGATTGTAAACAGCAATAGATGCCTGCGTAACTCAGGAAGTTGTAAACAAAGGTTTATTTTGATTCATATTTCATAACTTTGATATTTTATACATAATAGTATAAACATAATGTATCCCGGAGATCAAAGTTGTGCATAAGATTATTCTTCTCTCTGGAAAATTAAGGCTTAAATAACAAACGTTTGCCTAGAGTTGGTGATGTAACTTTGAAACGCAGCTGACAGCGTTTGGGTCTGTTTGTAGAAAACAAGTGGAACTGTTATAAGTGCCTACTGCTCCTGTTACTGAGGGTAAGTGACCAAAAGAACAATTTCAGCATAAGCTGATTATTATAAAAGATGTAATCACTTTGAGTTAAATGACTAATTAAATGTTATGCAAACATAATCAAGAAAATAATTTCTACCCCTCCCAGAAATCAGAAGACTGTTATTAAACATAAAATTCTATAAAGCATATTACACTGTAGATTTATAGATCCGTATTATTCAACAGGTATATAATCATGTCACAATTTATATTATATTTTACATTTTATTTACACATGTCTAGGTGCTGTAAATAATATTAAGTAATAATGGATGTGATCTGAATTGTATATTACAGCCTTGGACAATCTTGCAATCATGGAGCAGGTTTGCCTTTTCATGTTGAATCTGCAAACAGACTGGGAAAAACATCATGTCACATGTGCCTCAAGCTCTGGAATGTGTATTTTGGTTTTACTGACAGACAAAAAACCTCCAACCTTCACAAATCAAGGACATGAAGTTTAAAATATCAAAGCATGGTAAAGCTTGAAGGTATACCAAAACTTTCACTCATTTCATAATCATTAATATTACTAATAACTATTAATTAACATACAAATAAAGAATTTCAAGAGAAAAAAATTACAAATTAAATGTACTACTAGCTGTGATTAAGATTAGTCATGATCACTGAAAGCTTAATACTGTACACACACTGTAAATATTATAACATCAATGTAGACATTTTATAGAACTAATTTATCATAATGAAATGGGCCAATAATGTTTTAAATTTGTGGATATTAATTAATTTACATCTTTTTGTAATGTAAATTACATGTACTTTTTTATATACATGTATTAGTATCAAGACCACTTGTTGGGAAGGATTAAAAGCAAACTATGATGTTATGGCTCAGACAACCAGAAACACATCTGATGAGTACATACACAAGACTCTGTTAACCTCCCTGAAGGATGCTCTTTCAAATGCATATGTATATAAAGGTACTAGCTGGTTTAATAAAGAAAGTTTTAAATAGATTAAATACCATAATTTATCATCATCTTTACATGAACAAATTTCAAAGCAGATTAAAGCAGACTGAATAAAGATTATGGAACATACAGAAACAAAAAGTAAATTACATGCATTTAATTATATTGCATTGTAAGACCCCAGTCTATGATATACTGTTGATTTTTGTTGTTGTTTTTTAAAAATAAAAACAGGTATACAGAGCACTGATGAGAATCTTCCTGAGTTACCTATGGAAAAGGAAGGGGCGACTGCTATTTTTGTGTGCAATGCCCATAATAACTACCTAGAAAACATGGTCATATACTTAGTGGATCACATCTCAGCTCTGAGTCAGAAGTTCAAGCAATTAACACCATTACATGTACCTTCGACTTGTCATCCGATGTGAAAACCATAGCAAAATCCGAGTTTATAAAAATGTTCAGAAAAAATCAAAATACATGTATGTCATGTATGAAAAATTAAGTTCTTTTGATTCATTATGGAACATTGTTGTATACGCCATGTTTGGTTAAATTCATAAGTGAATTAAATTATATACCTAGTAAATGTTATGAGGCTAAGTTATGAGGCCATCAGTTTTATTTTTGTTTGATGTACAGATCTGTGCCAAAAGTGAAAATAATTATATATTTTCTCTATATATTTCACTAACATCAACATTTGTAAAAGCACTAGCAAATGGGTCAATTTTTGTCCAATTTCTTTTTTTATTTCATTACTTAAACCAGAAAATATGTAATTCTCTTATTTTAAAAAGCTTATTAGATATAAAGATAGTTCATCACTTAACATCAGTTCTAAAATTCAAGATCAATGTTGACAATGTAATTCATTGTGAGTATGTTACTTAAATTTTCATGTCGCATTTATAAAATTAAAATAATTTTAACATATGGATGCTGATCTGATTAAAAACTAATTTTTTGTCAAGTAAGACAATTTCTTGGATTATCAAGAAATTTGTGTTAAAATTTGTCAAGAATTTTTGTCATACAGAATGTTGTTTTCAATGAAATATGTATAGAGAAAAAAATATATATCTTCACTTTTTGCATGCATCTGTACCCCGACCCACATTTTTCAAGATTATTACATGTAGGTAGGGTTATATACATGTAATATAATTTCATATTGATCTTTTTTCTTTTTTTTTATTTATTTTGTGTGTGTGTATGTTTTGCAAAATTAAATGTTCAACCCTATATTACCAGTGACATACATGTATATGTTTTGTGGAATTCATAAATGAACTGAATTGAATGAATATGAGGTCAATATTTCTTTTTCTTAGTACATGTACTTTGGAAGGGTTGGATACATGTGAACATTGGTTTGGGGCATGATGCAGGGTACCCCAGTTCAATTCTCTCTTTTCCTATTAATATCACATGCCCCTTATTCTAAAAATTTCATCAAGCCAATCAATGTGCTTACATATTGTTAAAGGAATTTAAAATTTCAAACATAGAAAAATACTCCCCTTTTTTCTAATTGTTTGTTTTTGAACAAAATTAAATAGTAAGTTATTCTGACATCATCAGCAGGCATCTGACTAACCCCATGCCAGCCAGGAGGGGTCACCAATGTGGCACAAAGAAAGGGTAAAATTTTGTTACAGTAAAAAATTACCAAAACCTATATTGACCATTATCCATCAAAAAGCTCTACGATATAAAGTAATGTTTTATCCACTGGTTCTCCCTTGTACAGCAGCACTCTGAAATAATTAAAATTGATCATATCCTGATCACCTTATGGGTTGATGCTGACTTAATATTTTGCTGTATAGTGATGCTTATCGAACACTGCATCCGATTACTCCCAAGAAGAGCTGCAGAACTGTAGCTCTCCGATAGACTAGTCCGACAATATATTATTTTCAAAGAGCTATACAGTTCTGCAGCTATCCCAATAATAGTGTTCTAACAAAATGAAGTGCCTAAATTACTGTATTTTAAAATTTTAATTAGTAAGATACATTAAAATTTAATTATACAGTGGTGCCTTATTTATCCGGACGCTTTGGTCCTCGTCAATTTGTCCGGATATGTGAAGCGTCCGGATATCTGAATTACCAGTTAAACAAGAACAAATAACATTAAAAAAATTTCTGTTCTGAGGAAAGGTCGTCCGGATACTGAAGCATCTGGATATCTGATGTCCGGATGTCTGAGGGTCCAATGTACAGTGTTAATGAAAAATAATCATGTTAAGAATGTTTGAACTGATCACAATTTTCATAATACACTATACCATGCATACTGATAAATTTTATTCTCATTCTAAGAACTAATGACAGATCATGTCACCTATACATTGCAACTCTTAAATGACATTTTTGTAACTGTTACATGTATATATGTATGATTGTGTATTGAGTCCTTAACAGCTTTATATCTTAATTGGAAGAAGAATATCCTTTACTCTGTTACTGCTCTATGGTTAGCATAAACATTGTAAACATTTATATATGCTATAGGCATTTATAAGTCTAAATCTGCAGCCTTCAGCTGATCACTCGCATCCCAACATTACTGAGCATGAGTTAAATGAACCAATTAGCAGCTGATTAAATGTGCCTTGTTTAGTTTTCCCTATGAAAATATAAGGAATTTTGATTTAAAAATCAATAACTTTATTGTGTAAACAAACGGTGGTTATACCATGCACACAGATACACAATGGTATATGTAGTATTATGTACACGATAAATTTAAACAATTAACTCGATAATCATGATAAAACGGAATTGAACTTTACCAAATTTCGTTCTGATCGTAATCGGTTTACTCAAAACTTACCGAAAATGATAGTTTCGCTCTATATTTCAGTATTTATTGCCACGTTTTTTTCGTACAACTCAATGTTTATTATAGCGCAAACACCCGGATGTAAAATCTATCCCCGATTGACCTTTGACACGACGTGACGTCGGAGAGTGCAATAGGACTATTTACTTGAAAATTTAACTATTAAAACGCGAATTCTTTTCAAAGCAGCAGCACTTTTCAGAAACTACAAATTATGCAGAAATAATTAATAGTTTGAATTTTTAATTTCAACTAGGGTATGCCCTTTCGGTATTGAAATTTGTTAATGACCTACATTCAGTACACGTACTATGCATTCACCACGTGACTGTCCATCGATGGGACTAATATTCATACAGTACAGAGTAGGTTATACTATGCTATTTCCATAAGTATTTAAGTTTTGTGATTATAAAATTGCTGAATAAAAATAAATTCAGTTTTAAAAACAAATCCCGTTTTGGCACTTCTATTTTCCGTTGATTTCTCATAGTAGGCCTTAACAGTGCTGCGTAGTCACCATGGAGCATGGTTAATAATGTAACATTGCAACGTCAAAACCAAAGTCGAAAAAAAGTTTCTAAAAATTACTCTGCCTTTTCATTTACATGGTTTGTAACGTCTTATCTATCATAATAACCATATTTATAACATTTGACACCCAGTTGGCTTACAATTGATTATTATGAAAATCATCAGTCAACATTTGACGTAATGATAGCTTTTTATGCTGTCAGACTGTTGTTTCGACCAAAGAATTTAGAAATGATGCCTTTAAATGAGATTGTTGATATTCTTGTTCTATCAACTTGTTTGTCAATAACTTGCCTCTTTCTAAAAATTGTTCATATGAAAAGTATTAATTTGCGTATCGAATCAACTGAGATGGATAAACCACGAATGCAGATGAGAAAGGTACACTGATGTAAAGCTAAGGGAAGTTGACGATTAAAAGTTTAAGTCATCATGTATATCATAAAGCTTCTTTGCTAGATTAGCATTAATGCTCTTTACTAGTTTTACAAGTAAAATATCCCAGTATGAAACAAATGTATCAAACATCAGGCTCAGTGGTATCTTTACTTTCAAGTTCACTGGGATATGTCGTGTCGACTAATGAATGAAAATAACTACATGTTTTTTTTTGTATTGATAAGACATCATCGATATATTTAAATGTCAAGTTGAAGGCCATGGGAAGTATTTTTTTTCAAATGCTTACAAATAACACAAATTTTGCTCCATATGTAGAAGATATATGGTAAGGTAAACGTTTTTTTTTTTATTAAACTAAGGACTGCTTAGACTTCTTTCGGGTGATGCAAATTACATACGACGTCATGTGACGTCAGAGTCGAGAAGTGCCAAATGGCACGTGCGTTTTAAGAGACAGATCAAGTTAACACTAAATAGGTATATGCACTTACCTGACCGTCGCAACAACAATGTTTTAACGGCTTATAGTCATATATACAGCCCACCCTCATTTTGCTATCAATACAAAATAGTTATTTTTATTCATTAGTCGACACGACATACACCAGTGAACTTGAAAGTAAAGATACCACAGAGTCCGATACACAGGCAACTTAGCCACATATGATTCTCATATGAGTATCATATGATTCTCATATGATTGGTTTCATATGAGAATCATAGAAAAAGGGCATCATATGTGAATCATATGAAGCAAATCATATGATTTACATATGATCCACATATGTGAATCATATGAAAATAACTACATATGATTTTCATATGAATGATTTAAGTGTGTTTCAAGCCATTTACATATGAGAATCATATGAAAAGGGTGTCATATGTAAATCATATGAAACACTTATGTGTGTTTCAAGCCATTTACATATGAGAATCATATGAAAAGGACATCATATGTAAATCATATGAAACACTTGTGTGTTCTTTTTCAATATTTTTCACATTCTTGTACACATTTAAAAATCAGATATTTCTGCTTTAGATGAAAATTCATTACATTACAATGATCTATCTTCATTGGTTAAATATTTTATAATATCTTAAAATGCTTACACAACTTTTTTGATAAAATTATTTTCATCAAGAGAAATAACTTATTTTTCACAGTGTACATTCTAAACAAGAAAATATACAAACAAATCAGTAGCATTTGTCGATACATGTATTTAACATATTCTAACATGAGTACAAATTATAAGATTTCAGCAAAATGATTTAGTAGTTAAACATGTATACTGTACATGTACAAATGAATAACATAATTAGTTCATGTATAAAAATACCATATGACATGAAAGTGTCCAAAGCAAAATTGAAATATCAGCAATAACATTTGTCATGTATTCTCTATTGTAAATTTATGAAAAATCAAGTTATTGATTATTCCAGCATACAATAAGAATATGGGAAATTTTCACAGCTCAAATTCAGACAAGATTGTGTACATCCTCCCCATTTCATAATTATTTCATATATTTCCTTGTTCTTTTTCCTTCTGTATCTTTCAATTTTTTCAGTTGTCCTCCCTTTGATCTTCCATGACCATTTTGAAAATCTCTTTGAACTGTACCGTACCAAAAATGCATATCCACCACTTCTCCTCTTCCTGAACAATTTCTTTGTGGCACAGAATGGTCTCTACAAAAATTTCAAAAGTAAAAATAAAATAATTCTTAAATTCTATGAGTTATAAAAGTTACTTAGGTATAATCAGCAAACAAATGTATGCCCAATTCACTGACACAGATACAAGACAAAACTAACGTTATATATGTTATACTAGGTGTTTTGAGGAATCCTATGATGTAATTTGCAAAACAATTACACTATTGAAAGATATGCTTCATAATAAAATCATAAAAAGCAATATTTTGTTATTTTGACAATTAAATTTGGAATGTTCAAACAGTATATATTAATTCAGATTGTCAAAAAATTAAGAAGATTCTGATACAAATACATGTATATTATTTTTGGACAAAAAATACTACAGACAAGTAGACAGGCAGAAAAACAGACATTGTGATTCCAAGATATCCCAAACTTTTGGGAAGACTATAACAAAGTTCATTTAACAGTGTGTAGTTACCTTAACTTTGAAGCAAGCCTTGGATCTTGGGATTTGTTCTTTATCTTATGAGAGGCTGACTGCATGTATATTGAACCTGTAAGACAAATACTCACAGTCTTACACAGTAGATACTTTTTAAGAATACATTTAATTAAAATTTAAACTACTAAAAACAGAGAGTACAAGTTTGTAGGTTCTCTATATAGTTTTAAATATATCTTAACATTTAACCCGAAACTATAGGCACTAGGGCTGGGACGATACAACTTTTTCTATATCGATACGTATCACGATATTTGAGCCACGATACGATATGTATCACGATATGTTTAATTGCTTATAAAATCTTTTTTTTGCATTGAAATAAACAAATTATTTCTTTGCAAATGAGAATAATTTATTCAAAATAGTTGTTTATATGTTGTAAAACAAAAATATTTTACTCAAGTGTGTTAATTATTATTTATTTCATATCTATATTTATATTTAACTTATTTATTTTATATATTAAACCCCAAATGTTAAATAAACAAAGAAAAAAAGGTGTCAGATTTTTTGGGGCGATATTTCGATATTTTTTCAAATGTATCGATATGTGTATCGTCCTCACATATATCACGATACATCGATATCTCGATATATCGTCCCAGCCCTAATAGGCACGCGCACCATTCACTTAAGTGTTGGGGGAAAAAAATAATTGTCAGCCAATGAATACATAGATGTAAATATTCAATGGATTAAGCTAGCTGATGTTCTTTCAACACACATGCACATGTATTTATACCTTTAAAGTTGGATGTCACTGTTATAAGTTTTTAGTTGAAATTCAAAAATCCAATTTATCTCCCTTGACCCTCTCCCCACAAAGTTATTGTATACTATATAGTTTCATAGCTTTTACAGCCAGCAAAATCTATTCATACTTTGCATATTTTAAGTGCACTGGATTAAAATTATCATGTAGAATAAAATTTCTAGAGTATTGAGTTGAGTTGAATTTATTTTTGATGAAGCCATGCAAACAATGTAGAATTATAAAAGAACCAAAAAAATATAATAAAGAAATATTTTGTCATAAAGAGACACTACAGATACTTAGATTTTTTATTGCAAGTATTTATTTTTACCTTCAATATTGTGATGATGCAATCGTCTGTCAAATCAGCTTCAGGATCAATCGCCAGTCTTATCAGCTTCGGGCTCTTTGGACTGAAAAAAAAAACAGCACTGTGACACTGAACTCAAGTTGCCGAATGCATCTATAGGCCATAAATACAAACATTTGTCATTAAGTTGAAGAAGGAATCCGGACTTAATACCGATCTCAACATACATAACGCCAACTGACATACAAGGTTTCTACTTTCACTTTCATATCAGTACGTAACAAAACGAAAACAAATTCAAGTTTTAAAAAGTAGTAATGCCTTTAGCCTAACATGTAATGTTTACATTCATTCAGAAACAAATTTTATCCAAACTTACTTACAGATCACGAACGTTAGGTTTACGAAATGCATGCAAGTACTGAAGTAATAAGAATATTATATAGAAAGTTCATACGCACCATAATGAAATGATATTGAAACAATATGAATCAAAAGTCTTTAAAATAATATTGTTAGGAGATCACTTGCCTTTTCCAAACACCCAACACGTCTGCTCCAGCAGTGACGTAAAAAATGACGTATATTTTCATCCGATAAAAGACAAAACCCGCCCGGAGAAAAATACGGAATTATTTTAATTGTACTTAGCCAAACCCAAAAGATTTAAAATGAAAAGCAAATTAATTTATTCTTTATCTATTTTGTCTGGGAAATGCATTATAACAGAAAAAAAAATTGTGAAAGGTTTTTTTTAGAAGGAAGGGGGGGGGGTTAGAGTAAACAGAGTAGAACTTTACATATAATTAATTACTAACAAATTCTTTTGAATTAATGTACATTTAAATTTATCTTTAGATATATATTATTGAAATTGCAATTTTACTTCAGTATAACAAGGACAGATAAGTGAACACTGTTTCATATGATTCTCATATGATCACCGTTTCATATGATTCTCATATGATCACTGTCAAAACATTCGTATGAATTTTACCTGAGTATAACAAGGACAAATTAGTGAACATTGTTTCATATGATTCTCATATGATCAGTTTCATATGATTCTCATATGATTATTGTCAGAATATTCATATGATTCTCATATGCAGGATCTTTCATATGAGAATCATATGTATATTACTTCATATGATTTACATATGTGTAATCATATGATTCTCATATGATTTGCCACATATGATTCTCATATGATTGTATATACATATGATTCTCATATGATCCACATATGATCCTCATATGAAAGGTAATGCATATGTGGATCATATGTGGCTAAATTGCCTATGTACATTGTTTCATACTGGGATATTTAAAAACTAGGAAAAACATTGTTTTTTTGTCGAGAATTGCCATCAAACAGTGATACTGTATATATCATTATGCCACAGAGCGCATGATTTTCTTATAGCAAGAACTGACAACCTTTATTGAAACAAGTTGTAAGCAAAATATCTTTGAGGTTTTACTCTAGAATATTGCACAGAAGATTTGCTTCAAGCTTGCAGCGTATAAGAAGTTAGAAAATCCATACATTTAATCACCGACATGAAGAATTTCCGTTCACTTAACATTTAGTAATTTAGTAATTAGCCAAAATCATGCTGAAAGGCTAAGATAATTTTTTCATATAATATTGAACACAGAGATATAATTATATGTATTTAATTCTAAATAAAAAGAGAACCTAAGTTACAATAAGCAACACAAGGAAAACTTGAAAAAAATTACTTTATATAAAATATATGGTGATAATGATAATTTTCAAGCTTAAAGGTTCATTTAGAATCCACAGCAGAGCAAACAAGGGCGTCTAAAACCTCATTTGTGGGATCAGATAATAACAAAAAAATCTGTAAGGAATTTAGCATTTACATATAAATAACAACCCAACAATTGTTCTGAAAACGTTAGTCGACATTTGACTTAATGGTAGACTGCATATAGAAATTGTTCTTAATTATGTTAATCATGCTTTTGCATATTGAATCAACTGAGAGAATAAACCCCATATGCTGGTGATTAGAGTACATTTCTGCATAAGAAGGGAAGTTGGCGATTGTAAAGTAAAATTAAAGTTATTACGTTTATTATAAAGCTTAGTTGTAAGTTTAACATCTACGTTATTTTATAAATATCCAAGTATGAATTAAATGTGTCAGATTCTATAATTACAAGTTTACTGTGATATATCGTGTCGACTTATAAATGGAAATAATTACTATTGTTAATGAATAATACATCGTCAATGTCTAAATATCGAGTTAAAGGCCACACAAGTTTTTAAATTTTCTCATGCATTAAGATTTTCAAAAATAAATGGTAGGTTAAACGTTCTTTTTTAAACAAAGCACTGCATATTCGAAATAAGTTTTTGGTATTTCATCTTATCTATGACGTAATGTGAGGTCAGAGAAGTGCTTATTTGTAAGTGCGTTTCTGTGTTAGCCTTACATTTACGGTCGAAATGCAATATCAGAGAGGTTTAGTTACACGTTTTGCGACGAACTTGTACGGGTGACGTCATCAATTGTTGTGTTCTTCGACATCATGACGTCAAATCCGACGTGTGGCTACAAGTTTAGAAAGTGTAATACACTGTCTACACGTACGACGTAAACGAGTAAAGTTATGGATTAAATTCTTTATTTTTTTGATCCAGTTGATTGATTTTTATGCAATAAAACAAGAACACTAATCTATCTAAAACAGTGATGATTCTATGATTCCATGAAAGTACTAGTATTTGTATTTTTGTCAAAAGTTAAACTCAAACTGAAACCAAACAGCATGTTTTTATTTGAACGCAGGATTCATTTGAAGAGGTTCCCGCCAATGCACTAAAAAATTCTTTGCGGTAGTTTTTTCCCTTTATATTACTTTTTATTAAAACCTATTTTAACACCTCTATATATACATGTATTCTTTAATTTTTTAAATAAAATATTTTCTATTCAATAACATCCACAGGCATTAGTGACATATAACAAATATATAGCCCCTCGCCTAATAAGTTATAGGTAATATAAATGTGTAAAGTCAAGTGCTTGTGCATGGAGATTGTATTCATTAACTATTTTTTCCCTTTTCTACTAGATGTAGAACTTGTAAAGATCTAGAGTAGACGCGTATTTAATAAAAGGGAGGCGGTGTCTGATTTTGGTTTAAATAATGTACATGTACTGATGTAATAAATTTATTCCATGCCTCCTTTCTAGACGCTATAATGACTGAGCGCTTACATTTTATCGTTTTTAAAGGTTATCTTTTGGACCTCCCCCTCCTCGACAACGTGCAAAACGTGGTCGTTTTTTTTATCGTCAATTAGATATTTTTATGATTGTTTCCATTTTTAAAGTGATGCAGAATTAAAAGTTTGTCATGTAGAAATGTTGCAGTGAGATGACAATACATATAATAATTTTTCATAATTTGATATCTATAACTAAAATAAGTATAAATTCCAATTCACCATTGATTTGTCTAAATAAAAATAAGAAATGATAAATACCATGCCGTTCAATTAATTTACTGTACTCTCCGGTCACGAAATTTGCATACGTACACGTGTACGTATAAGTAAATCAAGTTTTTGACGTTGACTTCAAATATAACGTGTACGTCAAAGTTTGGCGTACACGTTGTTACGTCACTTGTCACTAAACCTCTCAATTTAAACGGCTTAGAGTCCTTTATACATCTCACTATCATTGTCCAAATCCGTTAGTCTGAATAATTACAACTATTTTTATAATTGTGGGACGCTGAACATAAAAGACAGTTAATATTCATATATAATGGTCCTAAACCTATTGACAGATTGCTTTTGTTAATAAATACCCGCGTATGTGTATACGGTATTTGTTGTTGATTTTCAAATAGGTCCACATTCTTACCACAAATGACCTGGTCAGACATAGATAAAATTCGATTCAGCTATGCCCAGATTTTTTCAAGATCGAGAGATTCTCTGTACATATGTATATAGATATAAAAAAACTAATACTAATACATAATAAGGTGTCCATCAAAATTTTACAAGCTCAATGGAACTTTTTTGTATTTTTTGCCGAGGAAAGACGCTATAATCATTGATACTTTAATATTAAAGAAAAGTCTTGTCTAAGAATAATGTTATGTATTAATTTTTTATCTAAAACAGATAAGAAAAACTATATTATAAATAGCAGAAATATGAAACATGCATGTTTTCACTCTAAAAGGTTTTAAATTATATACCAATCATTGCAGTTATTTTTCAGTATGTGATATAAGTACTTATCGTATAAACGCGTTTACATGTAAAATGTTAGATGCAATAGGGTTGGTCCCCCTTTTTCAAACTTAACAGGGGAACTGGTAAATACTCGCCTATATTTAGGTTCGCCTATTGGTAGGTTGTATTCTTATGTTATATTGGAGGGCAAAATACATTGTTCCGTTTATAAATGGGTACATATGTCTGTAAGAATTCATATCCGATTTGAAATAAATATTTTATTGTATTCACCTTTTTCCAGGGTATGTCTTGGGGTATAAGATCCACCTTTGATTTTTTTTATCTTTTATAACAACTTTCATGAACTAAGGGTTTTTCAAAGTTGAGGGCATCGATGTTTTATGCATATGGTCAACTCAAAGCGCTTTTCTAATTCACTAACATATGCTTAAAACATACAGAGAGGTTTTGAAACGATTTTTGACGTCATTGATTAAAACAGATGGTGATTTACGAGTCTTAAAGAATTCCGGTCTTCTTTTTAAGGCTTTTCGACACGACAAAGAGAATAATTTGCAAGAGGAATTCAAGCAATTTCATAAAGAAATGGTGCCAACAAACAGGTTGGGTCCAGTTTGTTACTGAGGGAGAGAGCCCACAACGTGACATTATCTACCAAGTCTTGGAAGCCGGAGTTAAAGATATGACGTATAGATATCAGGTATAACATGACCTTATACCTTCTAAGCATTTAGACACAGGAAATCAAAATAAAAGGTAGCTTTGATGTCCGTCCGAATTTATTTGACTAACTTTATTTGTTTCACCGCTCAGCTATAAGTTTGAGAGGCATGGTGATAAAGAATTAAGCCCCTCTCTCTCTCTCTCTCTCTCTCTCTCTCTCTCTCTCTCTCTCTCTCTCTCTCTCTCTCTCTCTCTCTCTCTCTCTCTCTCTCTCTCTCTCTCTCTCTCTCTCTCTCTCTCTCTCTCTCTCTCTCTCTCTCTCTCTCTCTCTCTCTCTCTCTCTCTCTCTCTCTCTCTCTCTCTCTCTCTCTCTCTCTCTCTCTCTCTCTCTCTCTCTCTCTCTCTCTCTCTCTCTCTCTCTCTCTCTCTCTCTCTCTCTCTCTCTCTCTCTCTCTCTCTCTCTCTCTCTCTCTCTCTCTCTCTCTCTCTCTCTCTCTCTCTCTCTCTCTCTCTCTCTCTCTCTCTCTCTCTCTCTCTCTCTCTCTCTCTCTCTCTCTCTCTCTCTCTCTCTCTCTCTCTCTCTCTCTCTCTCTCTCTCTCTCTCTCTCTCTCTCTCTCTCTCTCTCTCTCTCTCTCTCTCTCTCTCTCTCTCTCTCTCTCTCTCTCTCTCTCTCTCTCTCTCTCTCTCTCTCTCTCTCTCTCTCTCTCTCTCTCTCTCTCTCTCTCTCTCTCTCTCTCTCTCTCTCTCTCTCTCTCTCTCTCTCTCTCTCTCTCTCTCTCTCTCTCTCTCTCTGCTCTGATCTCTGTTCTAATCATGATTAATTTCAATTAATATGTGTTTATCTGACCTCTATGTGTTGCATCATTAACATTTATATGGGTTTCACTGATCTGTGTTTTTCTTATTATTATTTTCACTTTATGTTAATGGTGGCGGGTATTTAATATGTTTAATGATTTTAATGTTTGCTAAAGCAGCAAAGGTTGCAACTTATTCAAATGAAAATCGTAAACTTTAAATACATGTACATATTGATGTAATATATTTATTGATATAAATATTAATATCTATTTAATGTTTATACTATCAAAATACAAAAATCAATTAAATGTTTGAATGCATTGTAAGATTGAAATAAAAAAAAACAATAATCCCTTTTAAAAGCATAATTGCTTTTCTTATACAAATTTTAATCTCACATAGAACACAGGTTTAATAAATGGTAATTTTAAATCCTAAAACAAAATGCGAAGTACTAAAGGATAGGCGTCCGCCAGGCGCAGTGGTTAGAATGTCTGCTGTAGAGTCGCGGAGTAATGAAAGATGTTTCAAACGGCGCAACACAATATTTCTTAAAGGAAACTGATTATTAATACAAACTT